AGGTATTAGGCACTCTTCGAGTTTCATAACCGTGAATCTTGGCCGAATTTAAGCTGTGGGAAATATCAAATTTTAATTAATTATCCTAAGTAAGCATGCGGGTTAATTCATTAACAAACTAAAGGGAATAAACAGTCAAGCAAGCGATTAATTATTCTAGGTTGAGCAGGATGATCATACATGGTCAAACTATTAATAATCAACTAATTTGAAGAAGTAATACGAAAATAATGTAAGAGAATAGTTTGAAAAACATACTTCATTAACAATATTAAGTGGTACAACCTTTGACTACAAGCTGTTCAACTTGCACAAGTCTAAATCTCTTAATAATATTGATCAATAAATGTACAGGAACAATTGGACACGATGGGGGTCCTAAAATTTTTATCCTAAAGGATCAACCCGTACAATATAAATAATATTTTGCAACCCTTAAGAGCAATGGTTGCTCATATATTCAAAAAGCACAAACTATCATCTAAAGCTACCTAATTAATACCTTTAAATTGTTTTACCTAACACGCACTAATTCAATTCTAAGTCGTGCCCTATATGTGCCTACTCGTCCCATGTCTATTGTCCAAGAAGTGTTGGACCACTATATAGGTGGTTCTAGACTCATCTTAGGACTAAGGTACAATTAGCACAACAAGGCTCACATTTACCTCCATAAGTACACTTACGTGAATGTTAAACAATTACCAACTAAACAATTGTAGAGAAGTGGAAGAATCAATATGTGAATTGTCCTATGAACATGCTTTTCTAGTTGTGAGATTAGGCCGGACAGTAATGAATCAGTTCGTATTATCGAATTAATCTAGACCTAAAACATGATCTCCATATGAATGTGTAGACGGCCAGTTGTGAACCAATTAAGTCTATGACTTACACATAGATAATCTAACAAAATCAAATCCTATTAAGTCTTATAGGCAAGAACTCTAAATGATTCAAGTTTTAGACCGTCTAAGTGGTGTGGCAGTTAAGTATTGAGGATTATTGTTACAATGCTATAGTCATGGCTTCTAGGTGTAAAGTGTTAGGAACACAGTTTTGGAAGATGACAACACAAACAGTCTAGTTATTTAACATAATGTCCTATAGGTATGATAGCTAAGTGGAGTCCTAAGACATGATTTTCTAAGTGTAGTGGCAAATAATCAAACGAATTAACACAAAGTAGGTCCTATAGGCATGCTTTTTAAATGATATTGTAAGTCATATTGGCGGTGTTTAGTTACCAGTTGATTGAGATCCTAAACTCATGAATTCTAATCGGGATAGGAAAATTGGAATTCCTATGTGCATCATATCTATTAACAAGTAATACACATAAGTAAAGCATGGTTGACAAGTAGTAAAAATTTGATTTGGACTTATAGGCATGTTATCTACCCAATCATGCGAAAAAATTAAAATACCCCAGACCCTTCTTTTACTATTTTTCCCTAATCAGTTTTTACAAATTATTACAGACCAAAAATAAACAGTTACAGGCCCATTACAAGTACACAAATAACTGAGTAACATATCTGGGCCTTCAGCAGCTTTAAACTTCATGTGAACCAACAGGCCCAAGCTCCAGGTGCATAAGGTCGGTCGAGCAAAGAACATTTGAACTCAGTGCCCAGACCAGGCACAATAGGCAAAGACCAAATTATCAAACAGGCCTATTCATCCAACAGGATACCCAAAATGCAAGCGGACAAATATACAAACAAGTTAACTTAGCACTCAGGAAAGAAACACATAAAATTCAATCCTTGATATTTACAAACCACTCAAGAAATAGGATTCCCCAAGTGACATCCTAGGGTGTGAAGTTTAGGAGGTATAGACAAGAAAGATTTAAAACATGTCAGCTCTACAAGTCACCTGAAAGGCTCATAGGCATATATACTTTAAGTATAATACAAGCGGGTGCATAGAAACACATGTGTTCAGGAAAAACATACACCTATTGGAATTCATTTAGGTACCTCTATCTTGATCAAGACTTAATCCTAAGAACGCAACCAAACAGAAGCTCCTATATGAAAATTAAGACAAAAACATTTTGTATACATGGTCAAGACTTGATTCTAAGAACACAACCAAGCAGAATTTCCTACAAGGAAGGTTTTGCATGAAAGTTCAAGGTAACATGGCCAAGAACTAATTCTGAGAATATAACAAAATAAAAGCTCCTATTTGCATGAAAGTTCAAGGTAAAACATGGTCAAGAACTAATTCTGAGAAGATAACCAAATATCAGTGCCTACAAGGAAGGTTTTACATGAAAGTTCGAGGCAAACAAATCTTATGCACATGGTCCCCAAGTATAGCCATTACTAAATCAAACAGCATGTGTTACCTAATTCTTAAAGAGAACAGAGGGGTCCTACATGTTTATTATCACATACATATGAATGAGTACAGTTACAAGTAAAAATCACATGAAAGATGATTAAACTCAAGAAAACATAACAATATCAGTTATGAACCTTCAGCGTACAACATTGACAATGAAATTGCAGCAAAGTTAGGACAATATAATGCAATAGAATGTTTCATTTCACCAATTGCAGGAAACCAAAGCCCAAGTCATGTTTTCTATCCTTTTAATAGGAGTTCATACACTAGTTGCATATAGAGGACAAATAAGTATGAACAAGTAGAAGAGATAATCTAAAACATATTTATTATAGTTAAGCTGCAGGATTCAAGAATACTAAACAGTCACAAAAGAAAAACGAGCAAAAGAATGAGAAAATCAGAATCTCAGCAATAGTTTAGCAGGAGTTGCGAGTGAAGGAGAGCAGTGAGAGCCTCGAGATCTCTCGCACTTCAGAGTTCACAGAAGCCTCAAGGACTCCGAGCAGTGCTTTTTCTAGAGGAGGCGATGGGGGGCACAGTGTTCGATTCACACAAATAAAAATTAAAAACACCAATTAAATCACAGAACAAAGGAAAGAATCACATGCAAACCAATTTTGAGTCGGATTAGGGAAAATTACACGCAGAAGGTCAATCGAAAATCATTCAGCAATCTGGGCAGCCAGAGAAGTAAGAATATCCTCCTAAATGTATCAAGCCATGATTCTTTGTAGAATCAGTGCTCCAAAACTGCGTCGAATCTTCTCATTTGATACTTGCCATTTTCAGGCAAGTATCGTTAGGTTTTCATACAAGTCTTGCTATATATGGGCAAGTATCACAGAAATGAGGAGTCAAGAAAGGTAATATCATCACAGTAGAACCACAGATCGACTCCAATCCATGAAAGGAAAGGAAATATACCATGTCGGCTAAGTTTTGGGAGGAGTAGGGTTTAAGAGCGGCTAGAGCGGAGGAATGGGTAGTTTGCTTAGGGGATATTAAGGAAAAGGATGGTGTTATTGTGGGCCGTTGATCTTAAACTGAGATTTTAAAAAAAGAAGTGGGGCGGATAGCAGGTCATGGACGGGTATAAGGTATTAGGTTGTTTGGTTTGGGCCTCAGATGGGTTATGGAATGGACTTTTACCTTCCTATACCATATATGAAACCTTATTATCAAAAATGTACATAGTTTCATATTTACCCGCCATGTTCACAGTTATTCTACAAATATTATACCATTTATCAAATACCAATTATTAGGAGTTGATTCCTTCCTAATTAGGAGCGCTACAAATCTGGAACTAAATATTCTTCCAGATATTCCTATTTAGGCGCGCTACAATTATGAAAGTAAATATTTTTCCAGATATTTCATTAATTAAGGAATCATTGTAGCATTAAAATTCCTTATTTAGATATCTAAGCAAATATCTCTGCATTTTCTAAGCAAGCAAATACCTCTGTATTTTCTACTTCTCCTAACGAAGAAACAAATCCCACAAAACGAAGAAACTAAGCAAATATCTCTGCATTTTCTACTTCACCTAATCTTTCTGCTTATAGTCTCACATAAACTTGTAGCTGAAAATATCGTTATATTTTTTTTCCATGAAAAATAATAAGTTGACAAATCCAATAGTTGATGTCACCTAGGTAGTATTTTTCAAACTCGACAAAATAGTTGATGTAGCTTTCTAACATATTTCCCTCAATCTATAATTGAGAATACTATAATGAATCTTTAAGATTATGTCTAGTCGAAAATTCCAATTAAACTACAATTGAAATGGGAATTGGGATATTAAAATTCAATATACCCAGTTTGTAGATATTTTGTAGATGAATTGTAGATTATTTATATTATGATTATAGATGCTTTGTTTTTTGTCTTCACAAATAAAAAATGACTAAAACTTCTACAAATCTTTTGCAAAAAATGCAATTATGTCGAAAATTCCAATCAAACTACAATCGAATGGGAATTAGGATATTAAAATTCAATGTACCCAGTTTGTAGATATTTTGTAGATAAATTGTAGATTATTTGTATTCTGATTGTAGATGCTTTATTTTCTGTTTTCACAAATCAAAAACGACTAAAACGACTAAACTTCTACAAATCTTCTGCAAAAAAATGCAATTATGTCGAAAATGCCAATTATGCTACAATTGAAATGGGAATTGGGATATTAAAATTCAATGCACCCAGTTTATAGATATTTTGTAGATAAATTGTAGATTATTTGTATTCTGATTGTAGATGCATTGTTTTCTGTTTTCACAAATCCAAAACGACTAAAACTTCTAGAAAATCTTCTGCAAAAAACGCAATTATGTCGAAAATACCAATTAAGCTACAATTGACTGGGAATTGGGATATTAAAATTTATTGTACTCAGTTTGTAGATAAATTGTAGATTATTTGTATTCTGATTGTAGAAGCATTGTTTTCTATTTTCACAAATCCAAAACGACTAAAACTTCTAGAAAATTTTCTGCAAAAAATGCAATTATGTCGAGAATACCAATTAAGCTACAATTGAATGGGAATTGATCTTGATTTTACTCTTGAGTCCCAATTTTCATTAAAACCAAAACAACATAAAAATACTGAAGGAAACAGAGAAGAAAAAAATGCCAGCAAATGGGATATTAAAAACACAAATTTGTGAAAAGAAAAGGAAAAGAATGATTTCAATTAGGGAATCTGCAAGGCGATCTAGGATGAAAAAACAAAAGCTTGTGCAAGAATTGACAAAGGAAGTCAGCAAATTACAAGCTGCCAACAGAACCATTGTGGCTAAAATTGAAGAGACTACAAAGAGGTTGACATTTTGCACTGCTCAGAATAATGTGTTGAGGGCACAGGAAATAGAGTTAACAGATAGGTTAAAATCTCTGAACGATTTGATTAATCATAGTGGTTTGGGAGAGAGAAACGTGGGAGGGATGGGATATACGGTACCTTGAATTAAGGAGAGATATACGCTGCATTAATTGTACCCATAAAAAATACTATGGTATAGAATTGGTAATTTGGTATACTAAATATAATTATATCAAACCTTAAACATTGAGGGTAATAAGGTTTCCTATATGGTATAGGAATGTAAAAATCTCTAATGTGATGGGGCTAGTGTTTTGGACTTCTTTTTGTTCCGATTTTCACCTCTCGTTGGGCCACAATTTGAAAAACACATGAAAATTAATTAAAATAAATTATAAATTAGTTAAAAAAATAATAAATAAATTTATTTAGGGAATTAAAGCTTTTATAAATAGTAGACCATAATTGTAAGAATATAAAAATGCTATTTTGACCTAAATAGCATAATAAATATAATTGATAAAAATTATAGGCTACTATCGCAAATAGTATGTAGATGGTAGAAATATGAAAATACAATTGTATGAGATGATGTAAAATATTATAAAATATGCATAAATATTTTGGACAACTGATAACTCATAAATGATTTTTAATAAATATGTATCAATTGAAATGCTAGAATCAATTGGAAAAGCTTATGATATGAATAAAATTATTTGTATAAAACTTTTATGATAATAAAAAATATTATGAAGAAATAAATTGATATTTAAAACATGTACCGGAACAGTAATGCAAGGAAATATTCTATCAAAAATATATTAAAATATATTATAAAATATATTAATTTACAAAGGCTATGTGAAAAATATGAGGACAAAATTGAGTATCATATGTTATGATCAAGTTGACTCTTATCTACAGTAAGAAGAAGAGGTACAATTTGTGAACAATTACCAAGGGCAACGGAGCAATTTTCAAGGCTCCAATCAAAAGTAATGGCATTCTCAAAATAACCAAGGCAATTGGGGTTCCAACAATCAAGGGAATTGGCATAACAACAACAATCAAGGGAATCGGGGAGGTAACAACAAGGAAATTTGGGAACAATAATAATAATCCTTCCCATGGTTCAAGTTCTTCAAGCAATAAAATGGGTCGTATTGAGAATGTGTTCAAGCAAATGATGGAGAAGAATGCGGATTCGGATGCCCAACCTGCCTCATATACCACATCAAACTGTAAACTTGAAGTTCAAATGGGGAAAATATCTTAAGCTCTTAATACTCTTCCTAAGGGTGCATTATCAAGTGATGCGGTGGTGAACTCAAAGGGTGGTAAGAACACAGGGCATGCCATGGCGGTTATCACAAGAAGTGGAAGAGGCGGGAAGGCACCCACCTCAAATGAAAAACAAGTTGTAGATGATGACCAAACGTTCCAAGAGGAGGAAATCCCACAAATAATGTTCAAGTACATGATGACATTCGGATTGATATTGATGACACTATGGAAGAGACCCGATAGGAGGTGAACCTGTCTAGGGAACACATCATTGACATGCCGGATTTGGTGGTCTAATAGGCTAAGGCACCATTGCCAAAGCCTCCAACTCCTTACCCTCAAAGGCTAGATAAACAAAATGGTGAAAATTAATTCAATAAGTTCTTTCAAATGATGAAAGATCTCTCTATTAATGTGTCATTGGTGGAAGCTTTGGAACAAATGCATGGTTATGTCAAGTTTATGAAAGATATTCTCTCGATGAACTTTGAAATGATCGAGGTCACTCATCAAGTGAGTGCAGATGTTCATTCCATGGCTCCTAAGTTGGAGGATCCCGGTGCTTTCACAATTCCTTGTACTATTGGAAGCGCCAATTTTGCTAAAGCTCTTTGTGATCTTGGGCAAGTATAAATTTGATGCTCTATTCAGTGTTCAAAAATTTGAGGATTGGGAAACCAAGACCCGCGTCTATGAGGTTGCAAATTGCCGATCGCATAATGAAAAGACTTTTGGATGTGATTGAGGATGTATTGGTCCGAGTTGATAAGTTTATTCTTCCGGCAGACTTTGTTATTCTTGATTTTGAAGTCAATTATGAAGTGCCTATTGTTACGGGTAAGGCCCTTTGTGATGTTGAAGCCGAGAACTCACTTTTCGAGTTAGTGATGAACAAGTGGTATTTCATGTGTGCAAGTCTATGCGTCAATCAAATAGCAATGAGGTATGCTCTATTGTGGATTTGGTGATCGATTTCATTGTTGATGATACTAGTGCTACAATCAATGTTTGGTGACATGTTGGAAGCCGTAGCTCAACTTTGATGATGATGAGATCGATGGTTCCATGGAAAGTGTGAATTCGTTGCAAAGAATGGGGTTTTACAACTATGCACCCCAAAAGTTGTCATTAGATCTTGAGAATAGAAAGACTCCTCCTACAAAGCCTTCACTTGAAGACCCACCTATCTCGGAGTTGAAGCCATTTCCACCTCATCTTCGGTATGAATTTCTTGGCGCTTGTTCTACTTTACCGGTTAATCTTTCCTCTTTTTGACTAACGTGAAGATAGATTCCACATTGGCGGTCTTACAAAGGAGTACGAAAGCTATTGGATGAACTTTGGAGGATATTTGGGGTATAAGACCCGCATTTTGCACGCATAAGATCAAGTTGGATGATGGTGTAAAACCGTACATTGAACATCAAAGAAGACTCAATGAGGCTATGCAAGATTTGGTCAACAAGGAGATTATCAAATGGTTGGATATCGGGGTTGTCTACCCCATTTCCGATAGCTCATGGACTTCTTCGATTTAATGTGTCCCAAAGATGGAGGCATGACGATTGTTACCAATGATAAGAACGGTCACCGCTTGGAGATTTGTATGGATTATCGTAAACTCAACAAAGTCACAAGGAAGGATCACTTTCCTCTCCCTTTCATGGATTATATGCTTGATAGGTTGTCCGGTTGTGCCTTCTATTGATTTTTTGATGGTTACCCGGGATACAACAAAATTCTTATTGCACTAGAAGATCAGATAAAACAACTTTTACATGTCCATATGGTAGTTTTGCTTTCAATTGGATGACTTTTGGATTTTGCAATGCACCGACGACTTTTCAACGGTGTATGATGGATATCTTCACGGACATGGTGGAAGACTACCTTGAAGTCTTCATGAATGACTTTTCGGTGGTTGGAGATCCATTTGATTATTGTCTTGCTAATTTAGACAAAGCGTTAGCTAGATGTGAAGAAATAGATTTGGTACTCAATTGGAAGAAATGTCATTTTATGGTTGAGGAAAGCATTGTACTTGGCCATAAGATGTCAAACAATGTATTGATGTGGATAAGGCAAAGATTGAAGTTATTTCCAAGCTTCCACTCCCTACCTCGGTGAAGGGTGTGAGGAGTTTCTAGGGCCATGTGGGATTCTACCGATGATTTATCAAATACTTTTCTAAAGTGGTGAACCCATTGTGCAAACTCCTCGAGAAGGATGCCAAGTTCCATTTCATTATGATTGTATGAGAATGTTTGAACAATTCAAGATCAAGTTGAAACTACTCCTATCATTACATCTCTAAATTGGAGTTAGCCATTTGAGTTCATATATGTTGCAAGTGATGTAGCAGTTGGGACTGTTTTGGGACAATGTATCAACAAAGTTTTTCACCCGGTCTACTATGCTAGTAAGACCATGAATAGTGCCCAAGTTAGCTATACCGTTACGGAGAAGGAGCTCCTTGCCATTGTGTTTGCTATTGAGAAGTTTCTCCCATACTTGATGGGTGCCAACGTTATTATACTCATGGATCATGCTATCTTATGCATAAAAAGGAATCTAAAGCTCGTTTGATGAGATTGGTGATATTTGTTGTAAGAGATTGATATTGACATCCAAGACAAGAAGGGAAGTGAAAATCAAGTGTCGGACCACTTGTCTCGTTTGGAGGAGGAGGGGAGGCCACATGATGGCCTTGAGATGAATGACTCTTCTCCCGATGAGAAACTCAAAGATGATCTCATTTCTGAGCTTACATCAGTTGACTTATGACATACTCACACGTGTGAAAACATGGAGTGTAACAACACTTTTCTCGATTTTAACCCTCTGACTAAGATTCAACAGAAAATCAATTTGCTTGCACATTTGAGCACACATAGCCACCCACACTCCAATCGTTCTAATCACACTAGCACAATATGGTATGCATCACTTCAATCTATTTATTTTTATTTTGAATCTATTTTTTGCTTTTTACTTCTTTTTAAGTCATCTATGATTACATCCCTTATTTGTGTCCATGTGGGGTAGTTTAAGATGGGTATTTGTGAAATCATTCTTAGATGGGGTTGGGTCTTTTGTTATCATGCCTTTACCATGTTACCAAGTTGGATTAAACACATAATTGCATAACCTAGGTAGAAAATGACCTTTGTCCTTTACTGTTCTTGATTGTGCGGATAACATTTGAAATTTTGTGATCCACAATTGCTAATTTGGGTAGCCTGGTTGATACCCTAGTTATGCGGCCGCATTTTAATTGTGCGAATCGTACTTGAAATTGCACGACCATAATGAGAGGTTTGCACTGTCCTTCAGAGAACTTGTTCTCTAGGACCTGAGTACTTCTACACAAGTGCGGACCGCAATTTAATTGCACAGACTGCAGTTGGATTTCACACGATGTAGATGCGTGTCCACACTGTCCTTCATAGACTTATCTCTGAAGGTTTGAAACATCTGTACAAAAGTGCGGCTGCTTGGATTTTTGCGGACCGCATTGGCATTTGGGATCGTACTTCCACCCTACTTTTTGCATGATAAAGCAATGCACTTCCCACTACTCTTATGCTCTCTCCTACTGCTAATATGACTCCTAACTTCTTTGTACCTCAACTCAATAACTGACAACTCTCTTTGTGCATAAACAGATAATAATGCGAATCAAGAGGAAAGAGAGCGGTGCCATGCACCCGAGTGTGCAAAAGTCAATCGCCAAGAAGCAAATTGCTGGCAGGGGGAGAGGTAGAAGCTTCTCAGAGTCAGATTCTTATGTCCCATCTAGGGAAGCCACCAAAGGAATTTCAGTGTCTCTATCTGAAGAGCACAATGAGGAGCAGTCTCAACCACATGGGTAGTCTGAGCTCCAAGCTGAACCTTCCACATCTCAAGGAACCTCTCATGCCACAGCTAGTACTAGTCATGAGTCAAATTTAGTAGCACAAGACTCTAATTCTGATGATGTCCCCAATGACAGAAAAGGGGGAAAGGTTGCAAGGGACGGCACAGTGAGGACAAAGAAGAAGGTGGTCTAGGAAGATCTATTCTTGAGCTTCAACACTTATATGGACTTCAGGAGGTGGTGGAAAGAAAGGTCCCTTACTCATGAAATACAATTTCTTACCAAGGACTTAGATAAGTACAATATGGTAGTCCTGGAGCAGTTTAAAAAGAGGAAAGGCTAATGTAGTTCACTGAGGAGCTGGTAAATGTCAAGGAACACCTTTTCTGGGAGTTCTACGCCAACAAGACACATATTGTTAAAGGGACCAAGGTTACCAAAGTGCGCAACCTTAAGGTGAAATTTGATCAACGCACTTTGAATGCTTACCTCGAACTTGAGGATGTGGAGTCGTATGAGTTCTTGGCCAATTGGCAGAGAAGGAGGATGTCCGACCATGGCTTGCGAAGATTATCACACCTGGGCCTACTACCCCTTGGATAGGTTCCAAGTGCTTGTGGCCTCTATCATGGGTGGGTACCCAATCAATTTGAGTGCTCTGATGTCGGAAAATATCACTCTGGTAGCACAACAAGGTAACACCTCCAACCCCTATCCCAGCATCATCATAGAGTACTTGACAGATGCCAAAGTAGAGTCCAGACCATTTGATACGAAGATTAAACCAACCGGCCCCTTTGATATGTACATGTTTCAAGACCCCAGGAACCCAAAGAAGAGCAGTCAGCGAAGCCCTGGTACTAGCTAATCTGATGAGCCTGTAATAGTAGATCCCGGTCCCTTTGATATCCCTTCATATTGAACTGAGCCTTCTACCATTGCTAAAGACACATCTCCTCAGCCACCATCAGCCCATGTCTATTAGTTACACCAGCTCTAAGGTCGGTACCTTGCCTTCTAGCCCACTATCTACCTTACAGGTTTCTCAAACGCTAGTGAGTCTCAATAACTGGATGCAGAAAGCTATATCAAAGTTGTCCAAGATATCTAGTATAGTTGCAGGACAACCCTCTACACACCTAGACTTTTCTGATATTGATATGAAGCTCATCAAGATCTTGTACAACCAGAAGGTAATTATGGACACACTTGTGCAATATGGTGCGGTGATTGAGAGGTTGACAAAGCAAGTGGCAAAGATGAGAAAGACTCAGACCAGCAAGAAGTCAGTTGAGTCGCTGCAAGCTGAAGTGACTAGGATAGTGAGGCCGACAAATTTCCATTTGACATGCTCAAGGACCCCACCCAGCCTCACCCAGCTCATACTTCTCATGATTCCCCTGATGCTCGGGCTAAGGAGCCCTGCATTGCATCCAGCACTGCTGATGCGGTGCATGACATGTTCACATCTCAGGCAGCTCCCATAGACGATGATGACACCATGAGGATGCTTAGGGAGTTTCTTCGCTCTTCTCTGCTAATTGATTTTGATTTATCAAGCATTGGGCACAATGCTTACTTTTGTTTGGGGGTGGACAATTTGATTTGATTGATACATTTGATGATATTGGATTGTAATAATTGGTTGACTTATTTTTCTTATTTTTAGTAGTTTGATACATTTAGTAGTAATCTATAATTTTGTTTGTTTTAGTAGTGTAAACATTATGCTTTTCCTTCTTTTATTGATAATAAGCCTTTGGTTTTCTTAATGCCA